CAAAAAGAACCAGACTTGCTGCTATTCTGAAAAGCAGAAATACATTTTAAAGATCAAACAGAAGAAATTATTATGTGAAACTAAGTGGCAAAAACCACAGTACAGAAATCTAATACGCACAAATTAGGCACCTTTCTGTTGATGCCAGGTGTCCAACATCATCCTTGCAAAATATATCAAATGAAATCTCCCAAATCATGCACACAATAATTTTTTTTCACAGTGTACAATAATGCTAATGATAGCACTGATCTCATTTTATTCACCTAGTAAACAAAACTGCTCATTGAGGCAGAGAAGAATTTCTCAAAAGTGATGAAAACAGCATTCAAATACCACAGGGTAGGTTCTACCTGTCTGCTAATCAACAGAAGACCTGCTTTAAGAGGTTCCATGTTACAATATTTCACTTCAAGATTTATGTGTCGTCTAGATATGTCACACACACCATAGCCAAGTTCTAAAAATATTAATATATATTTTTTGAGTACAAAAAGCTTTTATTTACTTTGTAGCATTTCATACTTTTACATTTCCCTGAGCATTCCAGTTCTGTGCTTTAACAAGCTGGCCTAGTTATTAGAGAAATAACATACCAACTACGCTTATGAAGCGTATCTAAAAGGATATATCAGTCTTCAGTACAATCAACAAATACTAATTTATTTAATTGAGAGTAAATGCACAACTTTTGGCACCAAAACTGAAAATAAAAAACACATTACTTACAACATCTTAATAAAAATTTCCTTAAGTCTCAGCTGAAAATAGTCAAAAGATGATCACTTGTTTTTTCTATACCACCATAATGTGTTTCACTCTATTTTCTAAGAAGTCTTCCTTTAGTTATGTAAAACTTTCAGAGGGTTTAAAGCAAGGAACGTTTTAAGAAACAGTTAACAACAACAAAACATTACCCGCTTTCAGTTTAACACCACAAACTTTCCCCATTTTCTACTCTCTCCTGAGGATGGCCAGAGGAGCAAGAGGAACAAGTTTCTATTTACTGGCACATTATTACAGGTAGCTTCCTCATCCAGTTCTTAAACTAAGAGATATATGAAATACTATATGTCCAAGGATACAAGGTGCAGGGACGGTAAAAAGGGCTATATCCACAGCCACAGTCTTCCGATGACCACCTCTAAGCAGGCATTCATCAAGCTCTCCTTAAAGAATGGAATTTTCCCTGTGTTGGTAAACTGGAGAACACTGGAAAGGGTATTATTTGACAAAAGAAAAATAATATTTTAACTAGGATATAGGGAAGTTATGAGGCACTGGAACAGGTTGCCCTGAGAAGTTGTGGATGTCCCATCCCTGGAAGTGTTCAAGGCCAGGTTGGATGAGGCTTCGGGCAATCTGGTGTAGTGGAGGGTTTCCCTGCCCATGGCAGGGGGTTAGAAATAGATGATCTTTGAGGTCCCTTTCAATCCTAACCATTCTATGATTCTAAGTCATTTTCTGCAGCAAAGGAAAAAAAGAGAACTTGACATTTATACTTTAAAAGAATTAATTAATCTTCAGGTATCTGGAGGTTTGACCTTTCTGTTCTCCTCAAAGTAGTTATACAACATTTAGGATTTAGTGAATTCAGAATCAAAGAAAAAGTTTCGTAGTCTACTATTGTTTTGTGAATAGTTAAGAACTATTTCAGCTGTTTTGCTAATTCTTTGGTAACCTAATAACTAAGAAGTTCTTCTGCCATAGTTAATGCAAATGCTGAAATAAAGCTGTATCCCCAGTGCTACATCAGTTTTGGTGGTCTTATTCACTGTCCTTTTTTGTTTTCATTTCAAAAAATTTTGCTAAAAGCAAATGACATTTCAGCATTGCACAATCATTTTTATTTTTTCAGTGTTGTTCCTATCTGTCAGCCAATGAATAGTGCATATTTATTAATATACAAATCATTCTTCTGGAATACAAAGATTTTTTTTGAATATTAAGTCGCCAATTATAAACATCCAGTTTAATATAGAATCTGTGCAATTATTCACAACTTTATTGCTGAAGGTATTTTTAACATCCATATTTCTGCAGATATATTTACGGAAGGATATTTACAGAAGGAAGAGAGATCACTATGATCTTCAGAGCTTTTAAATCTACAGACAAAGTAATAGGTCTTGCTAATGAAGTCAGTAGTAACTCTCATTTCCCTGTTCAAATAACAGATCTGGAAAAGCTTCAAAGCACCTGCTACCGTCTACACAAACTATCCCCTAAGTATGTGTGAATCCTATTCTAGACCTTAGTGAGCTCCTTTCCCTGTACATTTCTCAGCAAACCTGGCTCAGCAATGACATGAAAACTACTATGATGAGATGCACCGCAACACGGGAGCTAACCTATGGCAGCGGAGGAGAGGATAGTTATCATGCGCAGAACTGAATTTCATTTAGTCAAATCGTCGTTTTAAACGGTGAAGAGACATCCATCCAGAAATAATAGGAAATGAAGAAACATTTCATTATGAACTATCTACACACACACTGTTTCTGAATGTTTACATCTTTCTTATGCTTAATTAACCTTTTGGTTACACAACAAATCATGCCAAAATCTAAATGTACTACCTTCTAAGTTAAAGAAAATACAGTGAGAAAATGAAAGCCCTCTGTCTTTACACAAAGAGACAATTCCTGAGAAACCCACTTAAGCCCTTCACTGTACTTAAGGACAGCTGTCGCCAAGGTCCAACTCCAATCTGATGGGGACTGAAGTGAGCAGGGTTACTGTTCTGCAGTCTGCCATCGACTTCTTGTGTCACAATCAGTCAGTCACCTGACATTTTAGTGCTTTCAGTAAATGTGCACAACAGTATTTCTGTCTTCCTAACTTTCGTCTTATAATGAGCAATTTTTGGCTCTAACTTCAACTCCCAATATGAAGCCACAATCTTGGCTGGGTACTCTGGACACTACAGAAATATCAGTAAGTTCACAGCCAAATAAACAATTTTAGTACATCTTAGAAGGAAAAAAATATAGCTGCGTTTACATAAGCAGTTTTTCGAAAACTGCGAAATCCAAAACATAACCATCCAATTCAAGGAAACTACCAGAAAAGTTGCAGATTTAACTAAAACCCTGTCTTTTTCTTTCAAGAGTATGATTGGTAAGATAAACCATACTGAACTGAACTCAACTTCAGCAGGTGAAAACAGGCAATTTTTTTCCTAAATACTCAAAGTTATTGACTTTTTTTTTTGTCACTTGCCCAGAGCAAGCCTCTGGGATGCATGAAAATGATGGCCAAACTCACATAATGGGTGAGAATCTTGAAACTTGTTGTGATAGGAGTCAGCATCACTTTGTGAACTCCTCCTTTGCCAGGTGTGCTCCAATGCACAAGAGACGGCACTCCTCTTCTAATGACTATGTCCAAAGACTGAAAATAAGACTTTTGCATTGTAATCCTGGTTCTAAGAATGACTCTCGTTGCCACCTTCTCAACAGTTCCTTTAGTCATTCTACTCAAATTCCAATGCAGTAAAGGACAAATAACATTAACAACTGTGGCTTTACTGTGGTAATACAATATATGCCATTTGAGACTTTGGTAACTAATGACTGGGGGGAGTGAGGGTATGTGTGCCTATACAAACAAGGGAGAGACTCCAGTTCATTAAATATAAGAAAGCATATTCAAAAATTCAGAGCTCAGCAACCTATAGACTCTTTGCTTCTTTGAAAACTAGACTCTTTGCAAGCACTTTCTTAAAGATTAAAGATTTTAAATATTAGATTTTTAAAGATCAGTCAATCATATAACCAGGATATGCAATTTTAGCACAGTCCCACAGATTCCACCTCTTTGATGTAAACCTCAGATTTGAAGCTGTCCATCAAAAATTACGTAACTAAACTTTCTTTAGATCATCAGATTTAGTTGACACTTAGAAATGCAATACATAGGTGGGAGCTGCTTTAAAACTGAAGTAAACGACACATCTGTACTGATGTACATAACAAGGTTAGAATAAAATGAAGACAGCACCATGAAAAAGGTAAGACTTGATGAATGGCTCAAGTGCATTCAAACTCTGCATCTGGTGCAACAGCTTCACTGTGACTTTTCATTTGATTTAGAAAGATCTGAAAATTCCAATGAATCAAATAGATCATATTTAGTATCCTATCTACCACTAGTCAGATTAATAGCAGCTGAACATTGAACAAAACAGACTTAGAAAGAAAACTAAGTAATTTCTCATTAAATCAAAAGGAAATTTCAGCAAAGTACTATCTTGGATACCATTTTATTTGAAGAAAATAATTTTCCATAATTTTAGCAAACTCAAATATAAAATAAAACATTCCATATGTTATTCTTCTGTTAGATATATTTGTTGTTCTTCTAGTAACAAATGATAAATGCTACTATACTTTCATTTTGGTGCAAACATGCTTAAGGAATAGTTAACAATAAGGAATTTATAAATGTATTTCTTTTGTTAAGCTATTCCATAAAATAAAACAAAAAGGCAAAGTAGTCACTTCAAGGCCTCTGTTGCATTTTTTAAATTAACAAAGCATTAGCTATGAAAGAAATTTCCTTTCTTAATAAAGAGTAGAAGTAACCTTCACACAGGTAAGTAAGAAAACACCTTTTTTAAAGTACAGTAAATGGCTTTTTTTCTTTACTATTTAAGATTAGGAAGCATTTCAGTTTATATTTTCTCATCAACTGCACGTTTCAAATGAAAAATGAATCTCTTCGTGAACGTACTCTGGAGTTTAACATTTAGTTACTTAGCAACTTGTAGCACACACAGAAAATATCGAGTCAGAGATGTCACCCTGTTTAATATTTCCTCCCAATCCATATGAATATTGTGGATATTTTAAAATTTCACATTTCCCAAACAAACAAGCTACCATATAAGCTATAAACCTCATGAAAAACGAAGCAACAGAGACAGCCTTCTTGTGACAGTCACAGAGTCCTTCAAATGAGAAAGTGACAATTAGGTACATGCGTATCTCCCACAGAACTTAAATTTCATTCTTAAATTGTACCAGTATATAATTTTTCCACATTTCAGGAAATTTTAGATTTTAAGCTCCAACACAGACAGCACTGAAGAGGACACATAATGAGGATATAGTAAGAGAGTATAATTGGGAAGCACACGTTACTTTGTAAGATATTCTGTTTAGCAGTTTGATCCATTCCAGGTGATTAAACAAACTGATTTAAAAGAAATCAAGTACTATTATGAACTCACCCTGAGAAAATTCTTTCCTTTCTGTTAAAGAAAGCTCCTAATACAGATACAAGGTGGATTCTAATTATCTTCTTTTTTAACAAGAATGTATGAAATTCAAGTGATTTCTGAATGGTTTGTTCACCTATTGCCTTGGAATTTTTTTTACATTTTGGAAAAACTATCTACTAGTATTTTTAATATAGAAGCTTACAGGTACATGGACTTTTCTAAACATTTCAGCTCCTTTGCGTGCATCCAATAAAGCCACGTCTTGTGGAGTGGAGATGATCACAGCGCCTGGGAAAAGAAAACATGAAATACCATTAAATTACACTGTTAATTATTTTGACTATTAGTACATAACATTAAATTCAAAGTAGTCACATATTTATATGTGGGGTTTTTCAATTTAAAGAAGAAAATGATGCTAGTTTTTTTATTATGCAATGACCAAAATCACTGAGACATGATATGGAGTAACAGAAATAATTTAGGTATTTTCATCCTAAGTTTTCTATGTAGAAACCATTTATATGTTCTAAATGAGAAAAACTGATCTAGCTGTCATATGCCCATGAATGGAAGCATGTCCACATGCTGACAAGTTGCAGAGGTGGTACTCTGGGAATACCTACAGAGTAACCATCCCATGTCATAATTACATTTGATAGCTTTTGATTTAACAATAAGCCTTGTTCTAAAATCAAGAGGCAGCTGCCTGTGATCAGACTGCGGCTTTCTGAACCTGCTACACTTTCTGATTCAAGCGTTGACAGGCATAGTCTTGAAACATGTTACACTAGACACAACACCAGCGCATTTGTATGAACAATACCACGATATAAAGAGGCCAACTCATGCACACTTGCACTAGGTTTGAAAAAAGTAAAGTATTACTCACTGTTCAGACACGGCTCCAGGTTACCCGATAATTAGTACTCCCAAGAGTTATAAAACAGCTAGAGTTCTTTGTCAAAGGTCAGATTCTAAAGTAAGCCTACAGGTTACTATCCTATACTATTCTATATTACTTCTTGACTAATATAGCCAGCAAAACCGATACAGTTATTATCATATTCTACATCACTTCACAAAGAGCATCTTTCTGCATATTCTCAGGGGTTTCAAATACTGTTTCTTCAAAACTTGCATCAAGGATCTGCTCATGCTCGTCCCTGTTTTAGAAAAACGCAACATAAAAGAGGACATTACTGGTCAATTGGTTAGCTCTGGTTTCACAGTGAACATCTGGTCTCCAAAGTATCTGTTATAAAAACATCTTTGCAGGGCCACGTTAAGCCAACCTCACACAAGAAATTTATGCCAAACTCCACACTAATAGCAATTACAACAGACAATTCTAGATGCATGGAACAGAGTTTCCTACTGGGCCTGCAGTTCCCAATCCTTGGGAAGGAAGGAAAAGGTGGGTAGCTTTCCAGAGGCACACAACACTGGTATCCTCGGCACAGGTCAGAGCACCGGGAGCCTTGATGTCCCAAGAGCATTCTCGGTTCTGGCCATGCTGGGACAGGGAGCCCTGCCCCTCACAACAGTCCCACACAGTCCACCGGCTGCTGGGTAGCATCTTGCCTGCCTGACAGCCAGCCGTTTCCAAACACTGCCTGACAGCACGTTTGAATGTTTTCAACCAGCGTTCTTAACCTCTAATTTGTGAAAGAAAAATACAATCTGGCACCTCGCTCCTGAAAAGCTGCCAATCTCTGCCTTACATAATATTAGACACAAGTCCAAAAAGCTAAACAGCATATGTAATGTACTAAGCAAATGCATTTTCCCTATTGTTCGCTAAAACTCTGGCATTTGAATAATTTGCTGTTTTCCCAAGACAACTTATTTCCAATGGTATGACATAGAAGAGCGTGGAAGCCTTTTGGTTACATTCCAGTTACCTTAGCTCCTCATTTCACTAAGTGCAGGGTCACACTTTACAGTTGACATTGAAATGTAGGGCGAATTGCACAAAATCAACGCACCCTTCCCTAAAGGCACAGTCCACAACTAAGTAGAATCATGGAATGGTTTGGGTAGGAAGGGACATTCAAGATCACTTACTTCCAACCCGCCTGCCATGGGCAGGGACACTCTCCACTACACAATGTTGCTCAAAGCCTCATTCAACCTGGCCTTGAACACTTCTAGGGATGGGGCAGCCACAACTTCTCTGGCCAACCAGTTCCAGTGCCTCACCACCCTCAATGTAAAAAATTTCTTCCTTAGATCTAATCGAAATCTGCCCTCTTTCAGTTTAAAGCCATTGCCCCTTGTCTTATCACTACATGCGCTGGTAAAAAGTCTCTCTCCAGCTTTCCTGTAGGCCCCCTTTACTGCAAGACTGCAAGAAGGTCTCCCCAGAGCCTTCTCTTCTCCAGGCTGAACAGCCCCAACTCTCTCAGCCTGTCTTCATAGCAGAGGTGCTCCAGCCCTCGGATCAGCTTTGTGGCCCCCCTCTGGACTCCAACAGCTCCATGTCCTTCTTGTGTTGCGGACTCCAGAGCTGAACACAGTATTCTATCTAGGTGGGGTCTCACGAGAGCACAGTAGAGGGGCAGAATCACCTCCCTTGACTTGCTGGCCACACTTTGTTGGATGCAGCCCAGGCTACAGTTGGCTTTCTGGGCTGCCAGCACACATTGCCGGCTCATGTTGAGCTTCTCATTAACAAACACCCCCAAGTCCTTTTCCTCAGGGCTGCTCTCAATCCATTCTCCGCCCAGCCTGTACTTGTGCTTGGGATTGCCCCGACCCACATGCAGGACCCTGCACTTGGCCTTGTTGAACTTCATGAGGTTCTCACAGGCCCACTTCTCCAGCCTGTGAAGGTCCCTCCCATTACTTCCCTCCAGTGTGTTGGCCATGCCACACAGCTTAGTGTCATCAGCAAACTTGCTGAGGGTGCACTCAACCCCACTCTGTTAATTTCAGCATCAAAGATGTTAAACAGCACTGGTCCCAATACCAACCCCTGAGGAACGTCACTCGGTCTCCACTTGGACATCAAGCCATTTTTCACAACTCTTTGAGTATGTCCATCCAGACAACTCCTTATCCACTGAGTGGTCCATCCGTCAAATCCATGTGTTTGTCCAATTTATAGACAAGGATGCCGTGTGGAACAGTGTCAAATGCTTTGGACAAATCAAAGTAGATGCCCTCAGTTGCTCTTCCTTTATCTACCAATGCTGCAATCCCATTGTAGAAGGCCACCAAATTAGTCAGGCAGGATTTGCCCTTAGTGAATCTATGTTGGCTGTCACCAATCACCACCTTTTTTCCCATGTGCCTTAGCATAGTTTCCAGGAGGATCTGCTCCATGATCTTGCTGGGCACAGAAGTGAGACTGACTGGCCTGTAGCTCCTTGGGTCTTCCTTTTTTTCCTTTCTGAAAAATTTGGCCTATGTTTCCCTTTTTCCAGTTAGTTGGAACTTCACTGGACTGCCACTGTGGGCAGTTCTTCATTCTCCCAGTCCCTGCCTTTGCCTTCTACAGTTGGAGTGGTGCGACTAGAGCACATGTCAGTGAAGACTGAGACAAAAAAGTCATTAAGTACCTCAGCCTCCTCCATATTCTGGGTAATCAGGTCTTCCGTTTCCTTCCAGAGAGGGCCCACGTTTTCCCTAGCCCTCTTACCACTGACATACCTATAGAAGTTTTTCTTGTTGTCCTTGATGTCCCTGGTCAGATTTAGTTGCTTGATGTCCCTGGCCAGATTTAGTTCTATCAAGGCTTTAGCTTTCCTATCCTGATCCCTGGATGTTTGGATAATTTCTCTATATTCCTCCCAGGATACCTGTACCTGCTTCCACCCTCTGTAGGCCTCATTTTTGTGTTTGACTTGGTCCAGGAGCTCCTTGTTCATCCATGCAGGCCTCCTGGCGTTTCTGCTCAACTTCCTCTTTGTTGGGATGCACTGCTCCTGAGCTCGGAGGAGGTGATCCTTGAATATTAACCAGTTTTCTTGGGCCCCTCTTCCCGCCAGGGCTTTCTCCCATGGTACTCTGGACTGTTCAGGAATCTGCTTGATAGAGTCTGCTCTCCTGAAGACCAGGGTAGTGAGTTTGCTGTGTGCTCTCCTCACTGTCCTAAGGATCTTGAACTCCACCCCTTCACGGTCACTACAGCCAAGGCTGCCCTTGAGTTTCACGTTCCCCTCCTTGTCAGTGAGAACAAGGTCCAGCATAGCACCTCTTCTCATTGGTTCCTCTATCACTTGGAGAAGGACATTATCATCAATGCATTCCAGGAACCTCCTGGATTGCTTACAGCCTGTTCTGTTGTCCCTCCAACAGATATCAGGGTGGCTATGAGGACCAGGGCTCGTGAACATCAGGCTGCTCCTATCCTATAGAGGGCCTCATCCACTTCGTCTTCCTGGTTAGGTGGCTTGTAGTAGATCCCACTATAATGTCACCTGTCCCTGCCCACCCTTTAATCCTAACCCATAAGCTCTTGGTCAAGTTTAGACTCAACATCATTGAGTTTTCTGCATATTTGTAAAACACAGATCTTTCAATACTTGGACAAATGCTTATTACTGGTTTCTTTTCAACAAAACTAGAAATTTGTCTTATATGTATACACTCATGATAGTTGTTTCACACTGTTGTTCGCATTGTTCTCTGAAGATGCTGGCTCAGCATTCCCTGGATCTTCAGGTAGAAGCTAACATACAGTCAATAAAACTGAAGTCTACATTTTCTGGTCCATTATTAATTTTTTTAAGAATCCAATAATTGACATGACATGAAGAACAGAGACTCTGCACAACGAAAACACCCATTAGAACCACAAGTGGCTCATCCAAGAGGTATTTTTGACTGACAAATTCTCATCCAAAGAGAAAAAGCTAAAATCCTGAAAGACCCAATGGCACATTGCAGAGTCTAGGCTGCCACAGACACCAACTCCCCGTACAAAAAACTGGCTTCTGAAATACATTAGTTAAAATTATGCTAATAGACAACTTGCATGGCTCTTCCACAGAATGAAAGCCAACATGCTTAAGAAGTTGCTGCTGAGGGTGTAAATAGATGTTTCTCTCCTATTTCCCTTTGCACTCCGAGGTGGATTACGGACAAAATTTACCCACAGGCAGCTTGTACTGACTTACATGAACGTCCATTAAAATAAGTATCTTTTGTCTTTCTTTGGTACAACTGCTAGTCCAGCAAACCCAACCTGAAGTTCAAGAATTCAAATTATTAGCAGCACTGTTTCCTTCACTACCAACCACATATGGCAAATGAGACTTTTCACAGTGCTCCTCTCCCCGAAT